CCACTTAGTAAATCGACCGATTCAAACTGCACTTAATTTTAATAGTCATAGGATAAATCAGCTGGTCTGAAAGCAACGAGTTTCAATGACCAACCGGTGAAAATAGCAGGTTCGCACACCTATGAATCTCAACAGCTCTCTTGTCGTTCTTCCTCTTCCTCTCTTGTGCCGTTCTTTCTCTCGCTGCTCTCTCTCTCTCTCATAGTTCTCTCTGTCTCTCCCAATATTCTCTTTCCTTCGTCTTTCTCTGTTCTCTCTCTCTAGTCTGTCTCGCTCAGTTTCTCTTTCTCTCTCTCCGTCCGTACAGTCTCCCACTCTGTCTCTCTCGCTGTCGGTAAAGTCTCTCTTTGAGGGAAAATGCGGACGGTGGTATCCCCAGGTCACAATAAGTCCCGTATCACCGTGATATGAGAATACAGCAAAAAAAAAGCGTAGGCAAGACACAATTTACCGTGATCAACGAATACAGCAGCGAATGAAAACGAAGCCTAATTCAATGTAGCCAGCGAACACAGCAGAGAGAAAACAAGGCCCTATTTGCTGAGTTCTGATGATGGTATCACACGTCAATCCAACCCCGTTCACAGTGTCTTACATGAGCTCACGCTCCGCAGAACGCTAATTGGGAAGGGGAGTTCATCAACTTACTGAGCGCCCTAGCTCAGATGTCACAACTTCGATGTTCCATTCGGCGGGCTTTTTCCTGGCGCGCGCATCCAGTCCTTTCAGCGAGCAATTCTCACAGTTTCACTCAGCCAGTTTGAAAGCGAGACAATCAGAGATCTTGACTTCTGGCTGGTACAAGCACGCACACCTCTAATAAGCACATTGGACAGATTCAATGTATTTGTGAATGGCGTACGAAACGACAGTTTAGACGCTTCCCGGTTGTATTTTCTCACTCTCACTCACCCAATAACATCACCAATCGCACCTTTCCCCGCGAGAAGTGTTCAAGTCTGGGCGCACCAGTTTGTAATTAGGAAGGGTGGGGGGGTGTAAGCTCGGGATCCCATAAATGATACTTTTTCACGTGCCCGCTCGGTTACCTCGCTATCAAAAGAGTTTTGACTGCGTGTTCCCCCGGCGTAATGTCGATTCGACCGACAATTCGAGATCTGAACGGTCAGAATCAGTATTTTCAAGTCCTTCGGAGTATGCGGTCCGATCTGCGGTATGTGGTCTCTTGCCTGTTGTATTGCTGAATTTACCCCGCCTTTGTGGGCCGATTCAATCACTCCAAAATTTTCAGGAAATCGAGTGCATATGTCAAGGCTGATATATCACTGTATTCCCCCCCGCCTTGGCGGGCAGATTCATACTCTCAATTCCTTCATGTGTGGAGGGTGCTGAGTCGGCAGTTTAGCGTTGATTCTCACCATGTATTTGGTCAGCATTAGCGGCAGATCCACTTTCCAGTATTCAAAAGGTTGTTCCCCACTCTCTCTCGGGCGAAGTTTTCCTTACCACGGATACCACCTGCGATTGTTTTCTGTGTAGCCGAGCTTGCCTGTAATTTGGACTCACCAAAACCCGATCTCTCTCTTTCCCCTTCCTCTCTCCTCTTATTCCACGTTGCGATCTGGCGACGCCCTTCGGCTAGTCGGTTCAGTAAAGGCTGCGCTCGCCATGCTCGCCCATCTCAGTCCCCTTTCGTCCAACCTCTCAGACATAGGTGGGCCTCGCAAGTCCGAGCACATCCCACTCGCGACCACTACTCTCCGCCCAACTCCAAGTCAACTGCGCAGATCACTGGAGAACACCTGGCGCGCTCATCTRTCCTCCCTYTAGGCTTGCGAAACGRGCGTTGAGCGCGCCGCGCGCGTTGCTCAGCTGCTTCGCCCTACGCGCCTTGACTTTTCCTGTTCCCAGCCGGGATGTGGACTGAGTACACCCCGCTCACTCTGTCCTTTGCCCGTTCGCCACCCAGCCTATATCCTCTAGTACCAGAGGACGCGGCCACCAGTACAAGTGCACTCGCATTTTCAAAGACAAACCCGGTACCAACACTTGTAGGTTTGATCCAGGAGTAACTCTGGACTGTGCGACCCTTCATGCCAGGGCCACAGGAGCAGGTGCAGGGATACCGACTGAAGACCCATCGGTGCCACCGGATCAGTACCAGGCTTCGAGTTACCGATCCCGAACTAACGAATCTGGAGTATTGCAGGCCGTACCTTTGTCAACCCAACAGCGAACCCGGACAAATGTCGATTCTGAAACGATCCCGCAAGACTGGAGGAGCCGGAACCTTTAACATCCGTTCTGAGCCGTAGCGACCCGTACCACACCAATGCTCCACCGAACGTGTCCCGAACCAGAATGTCATGCCGAACCAAAAGCAAATACTTGAAACAAGCCTTCTGAGCTGTCAATATGGAACCTGAGACCAATGCAGTGACGCGTACCGTATCGACGCCGGATACCGTAGAAAACCAGAAATACCATGATAGTACCAAACTTGTTCCGGACCTGAAATCCGAACCCGAAAGAACGGGAACAAGACGTAGTACCCAGTCCCAGTGTCGTGCCTGCATCAATGGAGCGAAACACAACAGCCCGAAACAGATTTCACCGGAAAGTACCGCTGTCAAACCGCTCACTACCGGTCCTATTTCGAACCTGAAAAATAAAGTGGCTATKGCTTCAGACGCTGAAATAAATTGTCGTGTTGGTGCCGATCCGATACTAAACTGTTGGAGTCGTGTCGTAGGTGACCTGAAAACGRACTGCAGTCAGGGTCCYRAGCCTGAAACAAATCAACAGAGTGRTTCTAAAACCCGATAACAAATCATCCAGATCTGTCCGACCTTGAAATGAGCTGATGTYGAGCTCTCGTTGAGCCTGAAATATGCCGGTGTGGAGTCATACTGAATCCGAAAAYAATAACCGCGATGACACCRAAYCTGAAATGAACCGCCGTGGCGRCGCCGAAGGTGAAATGGATCGYCGTAGCCGTCCTGCACCTGAAAAAAAACCGCGAAAGTGTCCCCAAACCCGAAGTACGCTAATGCCGAGCTCATGCCGAGCAGGAAATATGCCGGGTACCGAGCCAGATAGAGAACCTCCTCAAACCATGTCAACCACACCAACGCAACGCGCGACACAATCAAATAACAGGGCGGTAACACCCCGCGTCTCTCCATCTCGCACTCATAGTACACAGGTTATGGTAAGGCTAGAAATCGGGGAAAACAGGCAGGCCATGCGAGCAAATCCCAATCTTCGCCATATAGCGRAAATCACCAGAATTGGAGTAAATGAATAATCGGGGGTTAATTCCRATCGCGGATAAATGTAGTAAAATTACGCCAATGAGGTATTAATTATGGTTTTCCTTCCTTCTTATTATTTTTATTTACTTTTCTTAKTTCCTAATTCTTTTATCGAAAATAACAAAAATAGAGGCAATCTTGCCAAAAATAAATTCCGATGGCATTCAATGAAGCGTTGAAAATCCTTGGTTTCCCTTTTCTTTTTATTGTTTTCGAATCTTTTTCATACATTTAATTCTATTATAAAAAATGTCGATAATAGAGGGCGACCCTTTTAAAATTCAAATACCGAAGAATTTGAATAAATTGGAAAATATCCCGTTTTTCTCTCCTCTTTTGTTGTCTTTAATTCCTTTTCTCATTCTTAATTTTAATATTAAATTTAATTAAATGTGGGGCGCCCTCCTCGCATCCATGGGACACCGTGGAAGGGCCTCGTCAAGGCTCATCCTGAGTTAACAGCCCCGCGTCCAGTCGTTTCCGGGACATGCCTAGAGCGAGCGGAAAGGAGGTAGTCAGTAAGGTAACTGTGAGGGCGGCGAAGCGGTAGCCCCCTTTGTCATTTTCTAGGGCTAGTCCTGGCGGTTGACACATCCAAAATTAGAGGCGATCTGACTACCCCTAATTTCTCCCAACTGGTCGGATGAAAGCGCCGACCGATTCCTCCTTAGACAAGTTTTCTATAGGTCAATTTTCCGGTATTAGGGCGACCGACTGGCCTTCGGTCGCCCGACAAACAAGCCCGGACCTCCTCTCGACACCCCCGTCGAGCCCGCTCCGCTAAGATTAGACGAAACGTAGCAGGTCTAAGTGGACCGCTCGCGCTCTACGCAAGTGCCTCCTCTTGTCTGTCTGCCGTCTAGTTTTCTCAGGAACTCGTGGGCTGAGAGGGTGCTCCCTCCCTCTCTTATGTCGCGGTCGTTCGGATTTTGGTGTCGGAATAACCCTTCGCTTTTTTCTCCGTAGGGGAGCTCGTGCGACAGTTGTGTCCCCCTTTTTAATACGGACTTTCCTCTTAGGCCTTTGTAGAACAAAAACCCATTTTCTTTTCTCACCTAGCGTTAGGCCCTTCACTCTCCTGGTTTCCACTCTCTTCCTCTTCCTTGAACTCTCACCTATCTCGAACCGTCTTGGTGGTCCTTCGTCCACTATCTTAGCTTTACCCTTCCCTTTAGGATCTAACGGTCTTGGCGCAGGAGTGGGGGTCTCCCTTGACCTAAACAACTTCAGTCTAGCTCCTGCCATAGCATGTTTCCACTTTGACCCATTTAGCTCAGCAATCATGTAAGCTCCCCAGCTTAACGCACCAACAACACGATAGGGTCCCATCCATCTGTTAGCTAGCTTTCCGGTCCATGTTCTTTCCAAGGCGGCGTTGTAGAGGAGCACCATATCACCGACCTTGATCTTTTCTTTTCTGATCCTGACATCTTTTTCCCATCTTACTTTACTTTTCTCTCTTTCTACCGCTAGTTGATTAGCTGCAGTCATGAGATTATCCTCTAGTCCGTAAGCTATCTGCCTAGTCCTAGCTGCCAGCAATTCTACCCGTGTCATGTTATCCGCCCACCTGTCTCTTATACACATCTAGATGTGTATAAGAGACAGTACCCGTGTCATGTTATCCGCCCAATTAACCGTAGTCCAACTATCGACGTGCAATTCTATAGGTAGAGGACAGTGCCTCCCAAACCAAAGCGTGTAAGGTGGGTACCCAGTGCTGGCTCGCACCGTAACGTTATCTGCCCATATCGCATATCGGAAATACTTAGGCCAGTCGCTATCCTTTCCTCTACACTACTTGGATAGGGACGCTATCAATGACTGGTGGCCCCGTTCTACAGGCGCATTCGACTGTGGATGATAGGCAGTAGCTATAGACACTCTAGCTCCTGCTCCCTTGAATACGCTCTGTACCTCGTCTGCTAGGAACTTTGCTCCTCTATCCATCACAATCTTACTGACACATCCGTATCTAGACAGATACTCGAGGACGAAGTTCTTAACTTCTCTTGCTGCCTTCGTCCTGATAGGCTTGCCATCGACGAAGCCAGTGAAATCATCCCTGATGTTCACTACATAGTTCATGTTCCCTACACCCCTTGGCATCTTCACCAGATCAATATGCACTTTCTCTCCTGGTCTAGTAGGATATGAAGGATGAAGTGGTTCCTTATATCGGATAAGAGACCTCTTCTGACAGTCCTCACAAGTTTCGCAGTACTTTTCAACATCCTTGTACTGTCCTTCCCACCAATATAGTCTGCGAACTTTCTCATATGTACCTTTTACTCCTCTATGTCCTCCGACTACACCGTCATGCAACTCAGCTACTATGGACTGCTTCTCCTCTGGGTCGCAGATTACCCGAAGAGGCATCCCTGCTCCTATAGGTCGACGAAACAAATGCCCAGCTCTAAGACAGTACTGTGTCGCCTGTCTCTGGATATCCGAATCTGTGCTTTCTTCTCCTGACAGATGCAGTCCTATAATGCAGTACTTACCTTCATAAAGATTGATTAGGAAGCGATCCGTCCGTCTAGGCTCAGCTACAGTCAGGGCAGCAACCGATATGGGTCGCTCTGCCTCGATGGGAATCCGCGAAAGTCCATCGGCTACAACGTTTTTGCCCCTGAAATCCTCTCTACCGTATAGTCATAAAGTCGAATCCTGATCAGCCATCGTGCGATCGTAGGATCCGTCAGACTGAAGTCCTTCTGTAGGACTGAAGCTACGGCTGTAGGGTCTACCCTAAAAACGAATCGTCTCCCGTATATGTAATGCCTAAAGGTATCTAAGCACCGTAGAACAGCCAACACCTCCTTCTTAAACTGGCTGTAGTTTCGTTCTGCAGTGTCGAGTGTCCGGCTCTCGAACCTCAATGGCCTCTCTTTGCCTTCGACGCCCTTTTGAGAGAGCAATCCCCTAACCGAACATGGTCCAGCATCCGTAGATACTATGAAAGGTCGGGTCGTCTCGTCCTCAAAGAATGGCACACCCAGAATTTTTTCGCCTTCCTTAAATTCTTCCTTGAGGGACCGTACTGCTAGCTCTTGAGGAGAATCCCAGTAGAACTTCTCAGTATTCCTGAGAAGTGTGCGCAGAGGTTTAGCCTTTTCCGCATATCCTCGTATAAAAATCCGCCAATAACCAACAACCCCTAAAAACTGACGAACTTCAGTTGCGCTGTGCAATGGAGTCGGCCAATTCAACAACTTCTCCAGCTTCCCAGGGTCGGGTCGTCGGCCTTTCGCATTGCATATAAACCCTAGAATTTTAATCGTCGATACGACCCATCGACTCTTTGTCCCTCTAACCGTCAGGTTACCATCATCTAGTTGTTCCAAAACAACGTAAATGTCCGTTAGGTGTTGCTCTACGAACCTCCTGACGCTAGGAACGACTTCCGTCTCATCTTTCAACACCGGCCTTTTTATCGGAAAGTCGTCGAGGAAAACCTCTACTTTATCAGGGATAAAGTCTTTCAGAACCGCTACCATGGCTCTTTGAAAGACTGCTACTCCATTGGTCCATCCCATCGGAACCACCATCATCTCCACTAATCCGAGCGGCGTGTGCATGGCTGTGAGATGCCTATCTCTCGGATCTAGTGGTATCTCGTCGTATCCTGAAAATAAATCGCAGACAGAATAAATCGATCTGCCTGCCGCTCCTTCTGCTAGCATATCAACGTGCGGTACCGAGACTACATCCCGAATCGTCACAGCGTTGACCTTCTGAAGATCTTGAATCTTCCGAATCTTTCCGTTAGGCTTCCTTAAGAAGAGTCATCTGTTCGCATAAGTGCTGTCACAAGGCTCGGCTACGTGTGACGCCATCTTCTCTTTAAGAAAGGAGATCACCTCTTCCCTCTCTTTCTGAGCAAACTTCCACCCTGCGTCATTCCATGGCGTATGTGAAATCGTGTAGATCCTTGCAGGCTTAGCATATCTAGGGTCAATCCTTCCTCTCTCCGCGTCACTGAATGCTATAGCTTTGTCGCAAGACTTAAGGACTTCCAACACTCGCTCTTTCTCCGGCTCAGTTAGATTCCCATCGCCTATGTCAATCTCCGCTATCCTCTTTTCTGTCAGCCGTTGCGGCTCCTTCCTTTTCTTTTCTTTAATCTCTCTAGCGATCTCTTCTTCAGATACTCCACCCGATGTGGATCGCTCTCGTGCTACAGCTGCCGGCTTAACCTTCTGAGCTACTGTCTTGTGTCTTTTTGGTCGCCCCTCGTAGGGGGCTGTGCCCTTAAAAAAGACACAGATATCATCCCTCCGAATTCCTCATCTTCTGCCTTAGGATAGGCGTTCCTTCCTACACGTACCCGAGTCCCTAAATCCTCGACTTCGACTATCTGACCTTCTTCTTCTGTAAGCAGAGGTCCATACTTCTTTTTGCGAAAGCTTAGGGATCGACTCGCAAGGGGAACTGGTACACGGCCCCCTGCGGCGAGAACCGCTCTATTCCTCGGATCCCGAGGCTCTACCGTCTCCATCATAATCCGCCCACCGTCTGGACGCTTGATGGAAAGCATCTGGCTTCCATCCGACCGTTCTATAGTAACTGCTTGGACGTGACTCAGCCATGTCCGCCCCAATAATAACTCTGCGTTGCAATCCCGAACCGCGAAAACAGGCATCGTCACTCTCAGCCCTTCGACCTCAATTGCAGCCTTGTGGCAAACCCCGGTGACCTTTTGCTTTCTTCCATCGGCGGTCTCTATCTCAAATTTGAATGACTTATCAAGGTCTAATCCCAATCGGATAGCCAGACCCTCATCGATGATAACAACCTCGCTGCCGTTATCAATAACTGCATGAAGAACTATTTCGTCATTAAGGGTAGTCTGTATTGTCCCGCTGCCCAGGATATAAAACTTGTCAGGGGGCACCCCTTCTGTCCCATCTAAGAACACCGTCGCAGCACGATCCGCCTTGGCGACCACACTTGATACAGCAACAGTGGGTATCTCCTCTTGTTTAGTCGCCATTTGGACCTCGTCGCTCAGGGGAATACGTGTCTTATGCGTAATCATCTGCAATTCATCCCGTGCTGGCCTCGAGACCGCTAAATACTCTAGGATCGTGCACTGCATAGGCTGCCTGAGAGCGCGTCTAAGAGGTTCGACCGTGTCTATGTCATCCAGAGTACTCTTCATCGTGAACTTTCTCGCCCCACGTTTGCGTGGGGAAAGTATAACTTCTTCTCCTTCAATCCTTTGTCCATCCTTCTCTGCCATTACGTAATCAGTGTCATCCTTCTTAGAGGAGGAAGCCCTAGCGGACTTAGTCGCTGCCACCCGTATGGGCGTCATAGGGCTCTCCTCATCAGAAGATAGACTCAGTCTCACGCTTTGGGTTATCGCAACCCCTTTACCCTTGTTCGGTACTACTCGCCTAACTTCCACGTTCTCCTTCATAGAGGGAAACATCGATACATCGCCGAGGTTATCCGCCCTCTTGACGTACTTGCGATCATCAAGTACGACATGCCTCTCATCTATCGCCCGTTTGAGGTCAGGGCAGTCTCTCTTGAGGTGATCATCTCTCCTGCAATAGATACAGGAGTTCCTAGGGGTAGGGGGTCGTTCCTCCGCTGACCTAACCGCCGGTCGTCTCGCATCCTGATTAGATGGCCCAGGAGATCTGGGGTAGTTTGGGGACTTGGGATACCCTGGCGACGCAGGATATCCTCCTCTCTCATACTACCCCCGTGGCTCTTCTCTACGATCACCTCTCTCTGCCCGCTCATAGCTGCTTCCGTATCCATCTCGGCGGTCTCTATCCGACTCCCATCGTCCGCGGGAGCTCTCTCTATCCCTCGAATTAAAATTGCTCGGGCTCCGGTACCCTTCGGCATTTCCACCGTATCTGGGACTGCGTGGGTACTGGTCTCTGGGACTGCGCGGATACTAGTCGGTTCTGTCTCCTCGACTGTAAGAATGTCCCCCTCGGTACCCATCACGCCGGCGGTCTCTGTCTATATTATCATCCCGATGCCTCCTCTCTTCGTCTTCTTTTCGTCTCCGATCGTCTTCTTCTCTCGGCCTTCGATCCTCTTCATCCCTACGTCTACGATCATCCTCGTCTCTACGCCGACGCTCATCCTCATCTCTTTCCCTCGCGCGATAGTCGGCCAGTGTGCGGGGATTATGGTCTTCGACGCTTCTCCATGGGTCAGTATTGCGGCCATCCCATCGTAAGGAATAAGGTGACCCGGGTTTATCCCGGTATGTAGTTCCGACCTTCGTTTCAAAATTTGCCAATTGCCTTGCCATTGCCTTCATCTTCTCTTGCATCTCTTCTATGATAGCATCATTATCCTTTGACTGTAGGGGTCTATCTCTATCCATCATATAACGTCGCTCTGCCCAAGGTTTGTCGTTGAAATCTGGGCACCTGTCGGTCCCGTATTCCTGATAGAGGAAAAAATCTCGGTGCTGCATGCCTCTCCAGAGTAAGTCCTTGTAGTCATCTGCCTCAGCCTTCATGGCCAACTTGAGCAACGCAGTGAATTCTAGCTTATCGTGAGGCGTCTCTCTCAACACTGCCTTTTGCTTCCCTTTCGGTAGCTGCCCAAGGAAAATCGTGCATCTTTCTACCTCTGACAACTTCCCTTTTGCCATAAGGGCATCAGATACCTTCTGGAACCGCTTTCCGAAGGCCCGGACACTTTCGCCCTCTCCTTGGGTTAGCTGCTCCAAGTCCCGGATAGAATACTTAACATCTTCTAGTTTGTAGAGTTCGTATAGATTGACTTTATAAGTAGCCCATCGCCTATCTTTTGGTCGAGCCTCTTTAATCTCTTGGCTCAAGCTTGGGTCCACATTAAACAAGAAGTTGTTTATAATCTCATCCTCTGTCCACTGACTTCGGTATGCGTGCAACTCCCACTTTTCGATATATTCCGTTATACCACACCCTTTCAAAACAGGTGGTCTAGTATCCAACTCTGAGGGCTGATGTGAGATGATGAGCCTATATCTTGTCTCGTCTGGCAGGGAGTGTGTTTCCCCTGTCTCTGGGTCAAATACTCGTCTGGATATCGCAGCTTTCTCCCAATCTCTCCAAAGCTGCTCCCTAATGAATTGGTCTCTCCAGTCTTCTCTTCCTAGGTAGCCTCTATCCTCCCTACGCTCATACATAGATGGGCGTTGAATAAATAATTCGCGCCGAAAACTCGGAGGCTCGGTTTGTATGTTAGGTCGCTCTATCGGCGCTGCTCTGTTGGGCTCGGTGACGACAGGAGGTGCCATCACCTCGGGCTCGCCATCATCCGGCTGCTCTACGCACCTCAGTGGGGCGTTCTGTCGAAGGCGCTCTTTGAGGTCTCGCAGAGCCCGGTCCGGCGACGCTCGATACACCGCCTGTTCCTCGTCTGGATGCGGCCCCATTGTATCAGATTCCATATACTTCCCCCTTATCTGATTTAGCGGTTCAGCACCGATAGGCTGGACCTATGAATGAATCCGCAGCCCGGACCTATGAATGAATCCGCAGCCTGGACCTATAAAAAAATCCGCGGCCGAACCTATGAAAGTATTAATCACTCGTCTGTGACCGCTCTCAGAATCGTAACAAGTCTCCCAGCCTCATCTCGTATCTCGTGCTCACGCTCGATACCTAAAATTCATGAGTCAAAATAAAGTTCTCCCTTCTGTTGTTCTATGCAACGAACACCTCTCCTAATCTCTATGACTTTGGCTTCTGATGTCCTCACTCTCCTACAAATCCCTGTCGCGATCTTCCTCAACTCTTCCAGCGCACAAGATCTCAGATACTCCCGTATATCAACAAACGCTCTTCGCGCTAGATCGCTTAACCCATGATGCACAACGCGAGCTCCTGCCCGCGGGTAATCACCCCCTAAGGCCATCAAACTTAAAGCATCTAAGCGCTAAGCCAACCACTGCCTCATTGCTTCTCCCTCGAACCACCTGACGCARTACAGGAGGTCTGGGTAACCCCTGAAAGAGCGTAATTCGGGTGTCCCAGATTACCTCCTTACCTAGCGCCAGGAGCCTATCCCGCTCATTCTCAACGACTTCTTCCGCACGCTCCCAACATCGACCGTAAACTAAATCACGTTTTCGCTCAACTAGGGACGTAAATCCTAACATCATACATCTCCAATGCAAAGAACCTAACGGTGATAATGTAAAGGCGTATCTGCTCCCATCGTCTGTCCACTAACTCGTATGTCACTACTTCGTACGGAACTACTTTTCTTCGCCCCAAAGAACTCAACTGGTCGCAGACTTTCGCCAACTCCGTGTCCGAAGGTCTGTTGCCCGTCAGAAACCTTTCTCTTCTAGCTTCTAACTCGCGCTCAGGGATGGTCGTATCTTTACTCATCCGCGCATCCTATTCATCCTTAACGCTCTTTTTGAGCTTGCCGTCAGTCTTGACTGTCCGASTGAATCCAACTACARCTTCCCATTTGTTCTGCTCTAACACTTGGTATGGGACAGGCGGCCTAGGCAGACYGTCAAAAATAGTGATGTCGTCGCAGACCTCCACAATCTTTCCTAGACTTCCTAACCTCTTTTCCTCTTCTCTCAATGCCCACGCAACTCTCCTCCAAGTCCTTCCGTATATGCAAAACYCTTCTCTTKCTTTAGGCASATATATACCAACGTGATACACCTCTAGGTCATGAAACCGGACGGTCATAATATAGTATTGATTGCGTTCAATTCCACTGTTCTGCACTTGGTACTTAACTACCTCATACGGAAAGATTTCTCGTCCCCCTAAAGCGCTTAATTCAGCAAGTACTTTCTCGTGTTCAAATTCGTAAGGACCACCCCMAACCYCGAATCTCCTTCTCCTCCTCGCTAGCTCTGCTTCTGATAATGRCATCTCTCTTCCATGAGGTATCTAACACTCCGCTGCGATTAGTGCCARAGCTAGCAGGACTCTSTCTGTGGATTCCTCCAAAAACTTATAGAATGTCTCAAAATCGTCTATATCCCCAAAGTCTTCAATATCTGATAGAGTCTGGAGGTACTCATTCCAATACCGGTTGTGTGCCTGGAGTATTCTGAGAACTGAACTTTYCCCTATGATCTCCACCAGATCTCCAGCTTYCTCTGCTTCATCCTCCAGGAGCCTYTTAGCTTCGCTAGAAGTCTCACGCCATGCCCTATTTAGACGTGGCTCGTCAAAAGGGGTAACGCGCAGCGAATAGTTGATCAAGCACGCACTCTCTTCCCCTACCCAGAGTCCGGTCACTCGCGCCTTCCGTACAGCTCGTCGGGTGCACTCCGCCTCTTCTATCACAGTTAGCTTCTCCCGATGGACTAGTTGTATGCCGATACAAGCGATTTGCCCAGTCAACCTTCCTGTTATACGCATCTCACATTTCTCGTTACTCATCCTCCTTTATCTCTGTTCTGACGTTCCCTCATCTTTCGCTTTCTTTTCCAATGTCACTGCTTCAGACACCTCGTTTGTTCTTCCGGTCGTTTCGAGTGAGTCATCTCGCTCCTTCACACTTTCCAGAAAATCAAGCCTCCACCTCACGAAAAATTCTCTATCTTCCCTCAAAAGTCTTTGCAACGCCTTCGTTGCCGCTTTTGTCTTACGCAACTCGCTCTCACTCTTTCTCGGTACGCAATCCTGGATCTTGACGCCAAGCTCTCTGACTAGTTTCACTACTGGTTTAATAATCCAATCATCGACTCTCTTTTTCCTTTCTTCCAGATCCTCCATCACCTACAACCCATCTTTCTTGTTCTCATGAACCTCGTATCACATATTGCTCCTAGCTTCTGATGGTGTCTCGTCTCTAATTATCTCTAAGCGCACCCTTCCTTTAACGCACACGATCACCTCATAAACCACCCAGCTCTGTACTGTCAATTCCCTCAGCGCTCCTAATCTTTGCTCCCGTATGACATCTTCTGCAAGTTCTTTGAACTCGTTGTCCGACAGTTCTTCCTCTATGCTCACTCTCAAGAGGATCTGTAGGGTCTCCTTGTCACACGTTAATTGCCTAGAGACAACCCGAGCATAGGGAAGACGTAGCCGAGGAGAGGGACTACTCGTCTCAGTTCCTCGAGTAGCTACTCGGGGGTTCCTTCACTCACGCTCCTCCAGGACTCGGCCCCTCTGCGGTCCCACCGAAGTGAATAAGAGGCTCGAGGTCTATATCGATACAGTTGCTGCTCGCGTTCCGTCATGACAGGGTAATCATACTTTACTCCTGGCCTCCGCTACCGTCTCATCGAAGAACAACTCAGCGCGAAGGTACCCTGCTGACCACACCATCACTTCATAAGTTATCTTGGTCTGAAACGTGACGCATTCGAGAACTCCCGGTCTATATTCTCGGATAAATTCCCTGGCTTGCAGAAAACTCTCCTGCTCTGTTAGGATGTCGTCTATGTGAGCTCTAAGTAGGACTGTAATCATGAAGCCCTCGTTCACTAATTGCCTTGTCACACTCACCCCCCCCGTAATCGTCCGACCTGGCATCTCCTCCACTAGCTATGCCCAAACAGGTATCTCAGGTCCTCCAGCCCGATGAACTTGTCTTTTGCGCGTCTTCGACAATAGTGAATCAAATGTGCAGGTTTTAGGCAATCTAGCCAGGAGGTAGCATCTAACAAGTCTCTCTCGATCTCCTTACCAGGGGGTCCCCACCTTACACAAATTGAGTAATATGCTTCTAGGAATCGACACTCTACTCCCCGTAAGAACGCGTGCTGAGTGTGGTCGGCCGCTTTCGTCAACCAGTCCACGCCTCCGTAAGTCTGTTCTATAACAAACGCAGGTAACACCATCCGCCAGCTCCCTAGAGGATGGTAAATCTGTGGAGGAGAACCGATCACAATTCGCATGGTAAAAGGCCTACTTCCAGTGGCGCTAAGCAGTTGTCTTCTCACTATCGCCTTTGCTACGATCTCATATTTCCACTCGATCCTGCTAATGCCTACAAGGGTCAGGCCTATCTCTATATCTCTCTCCTTATCAAACGCAAGATATCCTATACCCTTCACTTGCCAGGGAGACCCCTGGTCCTCCGTATTCACTATCCACAAGAAGACCCCTCTCGCCAGCCAAGTACCGAAATGTCGGATCGGCACCCAATTTCCTTCCTCTAAGCGCACCGGAAGCGGAACATCATACCCCAGCGCCGTCTCTCTTGGCCCTATGAAATCTATCTCTCTACGAGGCTCTGACCCTCGCGTCAGCACATACATCACCCATATGTCCCAATCGCTCCTCATCACCGCATGTCGCTCAACCCTTGCCACTCCAGTTCTCTCCGACACACTCGATCTTATGACGTCACTACCTTCTCAGACAACTCTAGCCGTTAGGCTCAAGACAGTCGAGTAGGTGTTGTGCACTCTCCCGTCAGCTCCATGGAAGTATACGGTAAACTCGACATATCTCTGGCCTCTTCGTATCTCCAGAGCGTGCTCGATCATGAGTCCAACCCGCCGCGCAACGTCATCCATCGCCTCTTCTTCCCAGCCGCCCGTCCTATCTCGTCGTAAGAAGAGAGTCACTCTCAGTGTGTCCCTGTCTGCCATCCCTACCTGTCCTTTGTTTGAAGTTTTATCCCCGTGTCTACTAACCGACCTCCTTTTACTCCCTTCTCTAAGCTAGGCCTGGATATGTCCTGCCTCTAGTCGTCTCGCGCATCAGGCATTTCCTCATCTTCGTCCTCGTCTAAGCTCCGTCCCCATGGGATATCCTCCTGTCCCTCGGCTTGAAGGAGGTGTCCCCAGCCGTCCTCCTGCGGCGCCTCTCCACCTATCTGCTCCCGGCGATCCTCTGTCACCAGCTCTTCCCACCCCTGGTCCTGCTCTCCCCAAGGCTCTATCTCTCCAATAGTCTCCCACTTTCTATCCTCAGCGTACCAGTCGAGCTCCTCCCTATCTGGATATATACTCTGGTAATGCTCCTCCAACTCTCAGATAGAGATGAGGGGAGTGGGYCTGTCACTGGGAGTCTMACTAAAGAGYCGTCCGACTCCCTCCAAGCTATCTACAGGTCTCTGGACCTCCCTCTCCAAGGCTAGCCAAAACTCTAAGGGCTGATGGGGGTAGAAGGAGTCCTGGTCTCCTGTGGGCGCTAGAGCCCGTATGAACTCTATGAGTTGAAGTCCTCTCTCCCCTATGAGCGGCCCTCCGATAAGCTGAGCGTACTCAACCCAATCCTGGTCAGCCAGTTCTCTCCTGAATCCACCTAGCTCAATACTGGCTGAATACGTCTCAGCAATGTGACTGAGGCCCCAAAGTTCCTCTACCACAAATACAGGGAGTCCCACCCTTACTCGTACCGAGGGGAGGGGAAAAACTCCCCCGATCCGGAGCGTCGTCCTCGACTCGCCGATCGGACCGTGCAGTCTTTCTCTATCTGCACGGAAGTTATCTATCATCCGAGATAGGATCAGCCTAACCTCCTGCTCACAGCGCCAGAAACCATGCACCAAACCCTCAAAATCGGCCGTGGCACTTACCAACCGCGAATAATAAATATGTCCTACGACCTCTATGCTCATAGTCCCTG